TAAGTAGAGGATAGATGACTTGGTAAACAATATAGCTTTGGCTTAGCACCCTATTTTGGGAACAACATAAAGTGAATATAGTTATCTTTATCTAATAAATTTAATTTTCTAGGGCAATCTGTATTTAAAGTGCCTGATAAAGATTTGAGCTAAGGTGCATTTTATCACCTCGAGTGGAAGGAAATGACACAGTATGCTCTTCCTGTTATCGCAGATATACAGTGGAACCGTGTTAATTTGAATCAGTTGGGAAAAAAAAATTCAGACTTCAAGTTAAAAAGTTTCAAATTATAGAGGTTTGGCTAAAAATCAAGATTTTGTATATTGATTTATTGATGACCAATAAACTATCCATACAATATTTCTATTGATCTTATTACATAGAATTATTGTCAATGTAGACTTTCAGTATTGTCCAGAAATTCAAGCACAACTTAATAGTTAAATAAGTTACTGAGAAATACTTAACTGAATGGTTGATCTGTTCACTCCTAAGAGTTTAGTAATTTTTTTTCAATCACAAATGTACCACTCTTTTCGATTGTTATATTTTTAAAATTTTGCCAGAAAGGTTAAAATTTTTACATAGAACTGGACTGTAACCATTTTTTAAAAATTTATTTACTTATTATGCCTGATTGTCAGAGAAATCCATCAGCAGTCAAATAAAAAAGAATGTTTGAAAAAAAAGCAGCTTTGAATGGTAGTTACAGTATGTAGGTCACACATGCTGTCTGAAAGCCATCACCTCCCACCCATTGGTACACAACACAATGTTTATTTTTAGTCATATGTGGTTCCTGCACTTTATAAAAAGTGTCTGGTTAGTTTATTTGATAGAAGAATGTTAATTATTTCATTTCAATTTAAATTCCAGAGAATTTATGAAAATACTATAGCAAAACTCCATTTGAGTTAAAAAGTTAAATTAAACTGGTTAACTTGAATTCATTTAACATGTAAATCCCTATGCTAGATGATCGGAGAAAGAAAATCACTTTAAGTTATCACAGTTCAAGTTAATCATGTTCCATTGTAGCTGAAGTTTTATAGAATTCAGGTTGAATAGAACAGTGAAGAATGATATGGGTTCTTTATTAAACTTAGATTTTGGTAGATAATATTAATATTCAAAAACTATCATAACATTTATATGCTAAAAATTAAACTATTATTTACCTCTTTTTATAGAGTGAACTTAATAAAAAAGAATATATAGAATTTAAGAAATTTAAAAAGTGTGAAACCTCTTAATTTATACTATTTACTGCAAGAAGTATATATCATTCATATATTATAGTTACAATAATGGATGTTTGAGAGCTAATGATGCCACAAAGACTTTGTTCTAAGTTCTCATAGAAAAATGGCTATCATTTCAGAAATTACTATTATAAACACCTGCAGATGGTGATTGTAATGCTGAAAATACTTGCAAAATATATGTGATTATTTTTTTAAAAACAAGTTTTTGTTATTTTTCTTAGTGAAAAAACTATTAACACTGTTATCCTTTTACTTTCAACAATTATTTCCAAATAAATATTTAAAAACTAACACCAAATTGAGTTATTCTATGTTTACATGAACATACAAAACAGTTCAATTATTAAATTGAATGAAAACTGACATTCTCAACTCCTTAAGTTACAAAACATCAAAATCTAAAATTTATTATTATTATTTAAGGCTATTATTAACTTATTTAATTAATTGAGCTAATGCAATTTAGTATTTNCAGTTGAATAAAGTGGATCAACTTTAAAGTGGATCATTCAGTTTATCAACTGAATAAAGTGGATAAACGCCAAGTGTTTTAATAATAACACAGTCTTGTGTTCAATAGAAAAAAAATTTTATTAACTTATTTAATTAATTGTAGAAAAGTGTTGTTTTTAAAGCTTTTAAGCATCATAATTTTTGCAATATTTTTGAAATAGTTACATCTAAAACATCTCTAACCTTAGAAATAACATAAGATTACTTAATAATTTAATTTCTGCAATAATTAAAAACAAACTGAAAGGTTAATTTAGGAAAATCTTATTTTGTTTATTTAATAATACCTGTTGTAGTCTAGAGATTGGATTCTTGTATGTGCCTATTTTAAAGATGTTCAAATGTAATAAAAAATGCAATTTCAATGATATATTTGAAGATGATGATCAGGATGTCAAAGAAACAAGCCTTGCACCAAATTCACAAAGAAGATAAAAAAAATTATTAAAGTATATAAAGGCCAGTACTGAACTTTGATTACAAAACAAAATTATACTACTACAATATTAATTAGTATAAAATTCAAATGTCACCACAAATCTCAATTTAGTAATTACAACAATAAAATTGATATTTGCACATTTGCAGATGTGAATGACACTGTTGGGACCTTAACAGAGCTGTATTCATATTCATAGGAGCAAAAAGTCAAAGGAACCATACCTCTAAATGCAACCCTTCATGAGAAATAGCCCCCTGAAATCAGCTTACTTCCAGAGTGCAATCGAGAGTTGTACTGCACACTCCATGCACTACTAAGACTATCGTGTTTAACTATTTAGCTCATGGCTATGGCTATGGGCTACTGAAAGCTATTATGACAGTTTTGAGTAGTCCATATGACTGTTTGTGGAGTACTGTGGTTACATAGTTTTAGGAGGGTTAGTGCTCGCTATTGCTCACACTCTGTTCCTTGTGGATACCAAGGTATGAGCAATTGCAAGCACTTAAGCACACGATTTACATGTGTAGCATCAGTTAAGGCTTGCTATTGTTTGCCTAATTGACATAGAGCATGAAAAATAAGCATTAGTATGGTTTAATGTAAAAACTATTTTTTGTCAGTTAAAGTAAATGCATTTATTATTTATGTTTGCAAATATATTTGCAAACAAGATGATGACCAGAACTGCTACCATTGGGGTTCACACATGGAGGTGAATATCTTGTGAAAGGTAATGTATTGGATTTTTCTTTATTCTTTACTGATAAATATTGATAGAATATTTGACCATTGTGCTGGGCTGTCTATTAAACACATGATAGGCTTAGCAGAGTGCACAGCCCTGATTGTGCCCAGAAATATGCTGATTATGGGGGGAGCTACATCTTATGAAGGGTTGCATTTAGAGGTATGATTCCTTTGACTTCTTTGCTCCTGTGGTCATGGTTACAGCTCCATTAAGGTCCCAACAGTGTCATTTACATCTGAAATCTTATCTCGATATCAGTACAATTTTTAAAATTTAATTATTCAAAATCTCATCATATGTGCAAAAACCAATCTATAGTGGATTTTTAATCAATATATAAGTAATTAACTAAAGTCGTAATTTGATATTAAATGTTTTCAAAACAAGTTTCATTGTGACAGTGCAAAAGAGAATTTTGAATTATAGTTATATTTAGTTAGTTATATTATTTATTTTTTCTTTTGTTTCAGTTATTTCAAATTTGGCAGGTTATGTTAAACCTCAGCTGCTATTTCAGCAATTTTAACTAGAGCTTAATTCGTTAAATTTCATACTAACGTAGAATAATCAATGGAATTGCATCGCATTAATTTAACATTTAAATATGACTAAAATATTAAATAATTTTCTACTATATTTTTGTAACTATATATTAGTAAAATCAAAGTTAAGAAACATTTTTATTTTTGTAAACATGTTTAGTAAAAAAATTGATGTATGACACCATTGTCATCTTGTACAGTAACTAGCCTTAAATTCTTTTGGTCTGTGGTTGTTGATGCACACATAAGATGGCACTAAGCTGAAAAACTTAGTGCCATCTTAAACAATAAAAATTCTTTAAAATAATGAGTCTATGAGAAAATGTTTGAAAACCTCAAAGTCCTTTGAAATGCAAAATTCTACATTTGGTTTCATTGTCAATAGCATGAAATATTTTTTATGCTATTGACAATGATATACTTGGCCTTTGAATTTCAAAAATGATAGAAATTTCATAGTAAAAAATATTTTGGAAAATGTATCTTACGTGTGTTACTGAGTTTTGATTTTTAGTTGTTGCAGACAGTTATGAATAGAGTTATTTTAATCATAATTATTTGTATTTATGAAGTACTTTTTTAAAGATTTGATGATAATATATCTTCATTAATATTAAAGTCTGTTTGTTTCAAGTAATAATGTATTTTATGAAAAACATTTTTAGTCTTTTACTGAATCATCTTTCTTGAAATTTTAAGTTCTTGCTACTCAAAAAAGTTGTGAATCACTTAGTTACTATTTTAGCAGTTATTTTTTATATTATAATACAGTATTGGAGCTTTACATCATAATTAAATTTATACAGTAATCTTACGTAGGTTACTGTTTCAAAATTTACTTTAAATAAAATAGATTTACAAATAGATAAAAATGGTATGTTCAAAATTTAATACAAAATAAACATTTTCTTTTAATTTTTATCTTCAGATTAATATAATCATTATTAAGATTTACACTACAAAATAAAATGCATGAATGAACATAATTTAAAATTCTAATTTAATATTTTGTTTTTTATAACAATAATTTATAATTAAATGTTAATATCAATTAAGTAGATGAATAGCTGAAGTAAGTAAAGTGAAAAATGTTTTGTGTAAAATCTTTGTATTCTTTTTTACATGTCTTAAAATCTAGTCAATTTAGTAAAAAATTTATGATTTTCAGTTTTGTATTTCAATTCTTTATCATTTGAAATTCATAATTAATTTTTGGAAGAGTGATTTCTTTATTATAAAGCTTTAATAAAGATTGAAAATATTTCTCAGAAAATACATTGTTATATAGAATTAGGTTTTAAAATAATATTAATAAAGCAATTTTTCAAAAGAATAGATAAATGGATAAAAATACTGAAGCTTTGTATCTAATAGATTCTTGAATTATAATTATTTTAAATTCAGAAGTTTATTAATTATTATGCAGTGCTGCCACAATGTATTGTGTATTTAAGTGATGTCACTTCATTATGTTTGTCACCTGCAGCAGGGTCACAGCATGGTTCAGGGTCAGACTGATTCCATGGATAAATCCTTGGTGACTCATGAAGTGACAGGTGCTCCTGCACAATTGGGGTATGTGATAAGATAATTTATAATTTTAATATATACTTATTTAAAATTTTTCTCTTTAACTTTTTAAAATTTCTTTTTATATACAATATTATATTTTTAATTTATGTAGTATACAATATAATATTTTAAAAATTATTTATTGAATATTTTGAACAGTTATTACAATGAAACTCATTAAATACTGAAATTTGTATTTCATAAATATATACATATTATTTTAGCTTGATATTATACCAAGATACAGTAGACTCTCCCATATCAGGACTCTCTAGCTTATCCAGACCAATCAAAGACAACCAAACATTTTTGAAAATATTGTATGCAACTCTGAATCTTACCTTTCTATACTGCAGTGTATATTTAAATTTTTTTTTTTATTAAGGTTGCCTTGAAGTTTGAAAAATAACACAATGCATCAACCACTGCTGATGTGCTAATGATGAGGCATTTGTGTGATTTAGTAGCTCATCAGCAAGTTGAGAAGAACAAAATAAACAACTTTAACTCAAAAAATTCAAAATTAATTATAATTGTCAAAAATAAGCATCAGTCAAAATAAACATTTCTTATACAGTTGGCATATATGTTAGTTTTATTGGGCTGCAATTTGAAAAAATTGTAGTCCTATAAATTCTTACTGTCATCCGTCTGTCTGTCTGTCCTTCCTTAATCTTTAGAACAGAATTAGACAGATGAAAATTGAGACCAGACATGAAAAGCTTGGGGGCAGGAACTATATATGAACTTCTAGTTTGGATCTGAAGTCATGTTGTTTCAATTCAAACATTTTCTCCTGAAAGGTGTTAGATAGATGACCAGCACAACTCTATTGTTAAAGGAAAAGTATGATGTACAGGGGCAAGTCATTAATTTAAGGCGGAGAGCATATATTTTAAATTAAATAAGTTAAAAATGTGATTAAAAATTGTAGCCCACATTTTAATAATGTCACAATAAATATTTGCTTGTTTAAAAATTATAACATTTCCTTATCTGGAGTTTTCTAATATCTGGATCACTCTCATCCACATTAGTTTAGATATGGGAGAGTCTACTGTATTTTAAATAATTTGATACAATCTAAAATAAAACAAAATATGTATATAATAGAATAATGAGGAAAATATAATAGAAAAAAAATGATTAAACTGATAGATTAAAAAAATTATTGCTATTATTATTAAAATTAACTGTTTACTTTTATTTAATCTGAAAACATAATTCAAATATAAAAAATTGCCTTTAACAATTGTATCTCATATCTGTAATGATCTTCCATTGGTGATTGGTTGAGTCATCCTATTGATGAATCTTTCCTAGCTTTCAGGGTTTTTTTATTTTTCTTTTGCACGTTTATTGGTTATTAATTAAATATCAAACTCAGCTTCTTTTAAAACACTTAATAAATAATGTATTCTCAGTGATAGAAGGTGTTAAATGTTTTATTAAGTGTTATTGGTTATTGTTATTCCTTTATGATTTCAGACCTCGGTGGAGGTCGAAAGTACTTGTGGAATTTAATAGTGACATAACACTCGTAAAAAAAGGTTTTTCATGGATTGTTATTTTATGACTTCATGTGGGAATATTTCTTAATACTTTTAATTCAGCTATTCTTAAGCAACCTGTTGGTCTTTTTATCTCATCTAAATGTACAAAGCTTGTCTTGAGAGGTGTTGATGGGTACATTCTTCAACTGCTTTAAGTTTTTTTATTTTCTCTTATAAACTGTAATAACCATTTTTCCAAAGGATAAGCCAGAGTTGAGAGAATTACAGTTTTAAGAGTTTTATTTTCAGCTATTTTGGAATATTGGTGGTTTTCTAAAGTTTTGCTAGGTTGTTCATTGCAGACTGTCTATGATTCTAAGCTTTACTGTTTCTAGGATGTTATGATCACATGTAAGAAGTGTTCAGGGCTAATTAAATATAACAATTTGCTTATTTGCTCATTTTTGAGGCTTAATTTAACAGTTTTACCTGTTCCTTTCCTTTTATTAACAATCAATCAGTATTTATGGCAATAGACAGTTCTATTATCTATATAGATAGATTATTTTTTTATATCAGCAACTATAAGCTTTAACTTGGCCCACACTATTTGAGCTATCTCGCCTTTAATAATTTATGTATGCTTTCTATATAATACACATCTTTGGTCATTTTCATAGCAAATCATGATTTTATATATTCTGCTTTTACAACTTGTATTAGTTGGTTCATTTATAATTATTATATCCAAATTTAGCCCGATCATTTACGGCAGTTCTGGGTATATATCTAATCACGATCAAATTAAACAGAAAGTTTATGAATATTACATAGCTTTTTTCATAGATAATATTTCCACTGCAACAACTGTAACAAAATATTCTAAATCAGTAAAAACCAAATCATCTAAATACAACAAAATTAATATTAAAATATTAGAAAAGAATATTAGAAAAAATTTTTTATTGTGTCATTTGTTTTATTTATCAAATAATAATAAATACAGTATATAATAATATAATAAATGTTAAAATAAATATAGAAAAAATTAAATAACATTAGAAAATAATTTTAATGTGGAGAATGTCTTATGATATGAATTATATGAGTTGATTGCTCATCTATTATTCACTGTAGAGTTATCTGCAGTGAATAAACTTAGTTCAGATATACATTCACTAGTGAAAATGAAAGCAGAATATGAAAAACAGTTTATTTTGAATAAAAAATTTGGCTGTCAATGTCATTTCACAAAACAAGAACATAAAATGAGTTATTATACCAACTATTATAAACATCATTAAAATAAGATAGCAGCTGACAACAGAAACTGATTTTTTTATGCTTGCTTTGTCCGTTTATTTATTGAAAAGAAAGAATGACTTAAACACCTTATAATTCCAGCAAAAAGTTTTTTATTGCTAATGTTTTTGATCATTCTGAATGATAATCTTCAGAGTACAACCATAATAGCTAATGAATATGTCAAAAGAACATTGTATTCAGAAATACAAACATGTCATTTGTCATTGTTTATATTGAAAAGAAAATTTCAAAATTAATTATAATTGTAAGAATATAATTATAAAGTATATTCCTTGTAGCTATCATGTTTAAATCAATTTATATCTAGAAATTAGTTCTGATTAGTGGTGAATATTTTTTGCTAGCTGAAAAGTTCAGTCTGTTAGAATATGATTGAAATTTGCAAAACAATATTTTGCCAGAAAGGATGTTACAGTCAATACAATATTTGTTTCTATTTCCACTTTTCACTAATAATTAGCTCTCCATATAAACTAAGCTTAAAGTAAAGGCATTAAAATTATTTTTTATTTAATTTTTTTGAGTTTATATAAACAATTATTATTAAATACTTTATTAATATTATTTGATAAATAAAACAGAAATGAAGTCATGTGATAAAAATTTTGTCCTCAGCAGTCAACTCATATAAATGAAAGATATGCTTCCTTATATGGTACAAATTTGATGGATTATAATTGTCAGATCATTCATTAGAATGCTGAAATTCGTTTTTTTATTCAAGTATTATTTAGAAAATGATAAATGAAGATTTATTTTAATATTATCTTTTAACTCAAAAGTTATTAAATAATATATTTAATTTTGTACAAATGTCAATATAAAACAAAAAACAAATTTCTACATGATAGTTTAAAAAATGAAACAAATAAGCCAAAATTGTAATAACAATATCTTTATTTTTAATTTCATTAGCAAAAATGTAATGTTGGAAAGTAATATTCATGTATATAAACAAGAGAAAACATTGCCTAGTCAAATTATGGTTATCATTTTAAATATAAATTATTTTTACTCAGAATTATATTTTTCTTAATATTTTCATTGTAAAATATTTGGTGTTTAAATTGAAAGTTTCACATATAATTGTCATTTCTCTATATGTAGTTCTTTTTGTAATTAGTTTTTATTATTTTAGGTTTATTATGTGTAGATAGTTTTCTATTTGTTTGTAGTTCCTATGAAATTAAATAATAAACATACTTTTGTGAAGCTTTTTATTATTTTTCTTAGTTTACTATTATCATAATACAGTTATTTTACAAATTTTCACTGAAGTGGAAATTGATATTTGCTTTTGAAACAAAAATATTATTAAAACACAAAACACTATATTTTGTATTTTACATCAACAAATTCCTAAAAAAAAAATAAAAAATTTGAAAATGATTTTATATATAAGTATTCATTCTTCATAGATATAACTTTCATAACTATTTCTGACATTTTCAAAATATTTTTTTATAAAATTAAATTAAAGCAATCCTTCTATTTATCAATACATGAGTAATTAGTTCTATGAAAACATTGCATAAATGAAAAGCATATAAATGGAACCATGGAGTTTTTCCAAAAAATATAACTCAAATTTAATTCTAAATTACACAAGACCTGTAAGTGGTGAATAATAAACCCTATATGTAAAATAAATACTTTTAAATTACAAATTCTGAAAGTTTATTTTAGTTTTATTTATATAGAGGCACAAATATTTTGTTTATTATAAAAGGTTTATATGCATTTTGACACAAACATGTTAAATTGCTTGTTCCTCCCAAACTTTAAGAGAAATATCCAGAGGCATTACTTATGAAATACTGTATCAAATGTTAATCAAACTGTAATAAATGTAGTATAAAGGAAATGTAATACATACTAGCATACAAGGAAAAAATACAAGCATCATAATGTATGAAAATACTTTATTGTCATTCCAAGCTATATTGTATGTACAATCTATATGTACAGAGATATTTAAATCATTGTCTTGAAACTAGTTTCACTATGAGTTTTTACTACACTACATATGCCTAGTACACAACTGTAGATAAGATTATTAAATAAATTAAATTGGAAACTCCTGAATTTGTATGATTGCAATGTGTATACTAGTATATACACAATGTATGTGAAGTTAATTCACTTCAATGAGTTTAACCTTTAAAAGTTTTAAATTTATGCCTTGTGGTGACATCTGGTATCTAGTTGATTATAACCAGGTTAAAGTGAATTTGCATGAATGAAGACTGTGTAAATAGAGGGATTACTGTATAAATAAGCTAATAATTGATTTATTGATCAAAATACAAGAAAATTTTCATATTTTTATTGTCAAGAACAAGTATCTGATATACTGTCTACAACAATAAAATAATTTCTATTGTTACTATAATAAAGTATACTCTAATTTAAATTGAGTGATTTCTTTACGATATATATATTAAAGATAAAGATTAGGTCATTTTGGTGTAACTATGTTCAAATAAATGCAAAACTCACTACTCACCACACCTATATATCAAACACAAACACTGATCAATTTACGGTGTGGAATGATCGACTAATCATAAAAAACAAACGTTTTCGAACCCCTTCTGGGCTCTTCATCAGGTTTTAGCTCGGAAATTCAATTTTAGCTTCTGGGCTTGTAAATTCAATTGACAAATCTCAATTTGTCAATCGAATTTACGAGCTAAAACCTGATGAAGAGCCCAGAAGGGGTTCGAAAACATTTGTTTTTTATGATTAGTCGATCATTCCACACCGTAAATTGGTTCAGTGTTTGTGTTCAAATAAATGATTATCTATCAGCATTTTCCTGTGTAAATTGACTTTAATTTGCTATTAAAAAAAATAATGTTTTTTAGCCAAATAATATAAAGCATAGATAAGGTCATGTAGTTAATAGGTTAGGCATATGTATAAAAATTTACAAAATGTATTGATAAGGTCAGATACTTATGTATGAACTGATTATAAATCTGATATTTAATCCATTAATAACATGTGGAAGTTATATTTAGAAAGATTTATATAAATGAGATATGAGTTTCATTGTATAGTTGATTTATATATTTAGAAATTTCTAATATTTTCTAAAATAACAAATACAAATATATATATATCAAAATTTTGTGTAATTATAACATTTTGATTCACTTCCTAGATTTGTGGCTGGTGTTATTTTAAGAGAAAGGTTGCCTGCATTTGAACGCATGTTATGGAGAGTTTGTAGAGGAAATGTCTTTCTAAGACAAGCAGATATAGAAACTCCTTTAGAAGACCCTGTTACTGTATGTTTTTTTTTTAAATAAGTAAAATTTTTATATTAAAACATATTTATGTATATTTATTATTTTATCAAGGGTGCTCAAGTACATAAATCTGTAGTTGTCATTTTTTTTCAAGGAGAACAATTAAAAACAAGAGTAAAAAAAATTTGTGAAGGGTAAGTAATTATAAATCTATGCCTAAATTTAATGTTTTTTGCACATTTAGTTTTTTCTTTCTACATTTATAGCAGTAATAATTAAGCAACATTTTTCTTTTATATGCTTAAACTTTATTTTCATTTATTTTATTAACCAATGTATATATAACAATTTTGAAATGAGATGTTATAATTTGGTCTTTTTGTTTATTAATTTGACATTGTGAATCATAAAAAATGTCTGTCAAAAGTTTATTAGTAATACAAATATATAAAATTTGTATATAATAATAGTAGTAGTAAAACTATAAAAAATTTTAAATGCAAATCATAATCTATAATTACTAAATGAAGAAAAAGTAAGCAAAATCAATGTTTGGTAAATGCTAGTATTGTGTTTAAAAAACTTTAAATATTCTTACAAATATTCAATATTACATTTCTATAAAAATTTTATTGAAAATCTTACTAAGTAAATTTTTTAAAATTTAGTTTTATATAAAATGTATAATATCGATATAAATATACACATATTACTTCACATGAAGTCAATCTAATAGAATGCCGACTGGTGTAACTAAATTTATTCTCCAGCAGATATTTTTAAGTGCTTTGGAAACTTTTTCAAATCAGATAAAAATTAGAGTTCAAACTGCAAAACTGTAATTTAAATGCAAACATACTATACATTTTGCTATCTCTCTAGTATATTTGTGTGAAATTTATAAACCACCTCACTCATTTCTAGTACTCAACCAACTACAGTTCTCGGAAAGTTTAAAATATTAAGCACTGTGTGTTACAAATATGCATTGCATGGTGCTTAATATATTTCTGCAACACATACTATACATTGAAACCTGAGCTGTGTTACTTTGGAGCAAAATGCCAGCTATATAAATGTAATGGAAATAGTTAAAACATGGCCTATGAGAATAGGAATTGCACTCGGTCCAGTAAATTTTTTTAATGATAGAATACTAATAGGAATGTAATTTTTTCTCCCATAAAATATGAAAAATGAGCAAATTGCCTTTTCTAATGTCACAATGAATATTCTTGCACAATGAATGTGAATAAGTACAGTATTGTAAAAATAAAAGCACAAAAAACAAATATACAAGAAACAAAAGTCATTTTCTCTCATTGAAAATAAATAGTAAAAAAAATAGGTATATTATTTCAGTGATTATTATATTTCTCTTGGATTTGTATCAGCCCATTTATGCAATCTTCAATGTGATAGAAGTTTTGTTGAATTCATAAGCTGATAAACATACATGCTCAAGAAAAAATTATTCAGGCCAAGTGTTGCAATTTTGCAAAATGCCTAAAAATTGAGAAAAACATGCTTTTTAACAATGCAGGTAAAAATATATTAAATAGCCATCACATTTGTGCTATTTTGTTCAAAAACAGGATTATGGCCCAGGTAATATTTAATGGCCCACTATTGTGGCATTTAATGTGCTTAAAATGCTTCCATTTGGCTTTTAAAATGTATTAAGTGTTTTATTTCCCCCATATATAATTGCAATGACAGTGGAGCTCTTGAAGTATATAATGATTAAAATATATGTTTAAATCAGAATTATAACATTGATTGAGAAGATAGTTTTGTTATATTTCTTAAAGGTAACACTTAAACTCTATTAATTTATAATATTGTACATTGCTTTTATTTTATTTTTAGTTTTCAAGCTACATTATATCCTTGTCCTGAGACTCCAGCTGATAGAAGAGAAATGTCTATTGGTGTTATGACTAGAATTGAAGATTTGAATACTGTTAAGTATCATTTTTCTAAAGCTTTATAAAAGCTCTTTTCATAAAAATTATTTGTTTAGAACTGATGTTATTATCATTTATTTATAAAAATCAAAAATTTATTTTTTTGTTACACTTCAAAATTTTATTCATGAAGTTTGAGGTATGAAATGTATAGTGAATAATTTTTTATGAAAAGTCTAAACAATTTCAAGATTATTAAAAGTAAAAACACTCAAATAAAACAATGTCTAGAAATAATAAATTATCATATAGATTACATTGAAATTTTTAAAGTCATTTATTTTAACTAATGACAATAAGATTATACAATATTTTTTATTGAAACTGTTTTCAAATCAAAATCTGTAAAATGAATTTCAGCTTTATTTTGTGAAGTTTAAACTTTTCAAAACAATAACAATTATTAGTTAAACTTTCAAATTACTTTAATGTAAGGGAGATAATTCTTCAATGAATGATTTATTGACAGTTTACTAATAAAATAATTAAAGAAAAGCATGATGGAATTATATTGTTCCTCAAGAAATATATATCTATCTATTATAATAAATGATGAGAAAGATACTTGTTAATCTTATTTGTTTCTTTTTTCAATGTTCTTGAAAAGGAATGTCTAAAATAACTAAAATATATCCAAATAACTACTGATAATGTTAAACAAAAATATATTGTTAAGTAGATTAAAAAACAATTGAAGAATATGAAGTATCTACTTTTTCAATGTATACTTATGATTGGTCTTACAACAGAATAATATCAATAACACAGTTATAAATTACACTAATTCAATGATATAGTAGTTAAAAACTTATTGAAAGTACTTTTACCTTTAGAAAAATTAAGCTTTCTTCAATCTCTAAAATAAAAATAGATTTAAAATTTTTTTGAACCATTCTTTTGAATAATAAATATTCAACTGAAATATTTTAGAACAAGAAATATGGTAAATAATTATTTAAAAAGAATAAAATAGATTTAAAACAATGTGTAAGTATTCAGTTTACAAATTTTTGATTTTTTATAATCACACTTGCATGTTAAACACGTTAAATTAGTAAAACTTACATACATCGCATTTTGGATGGTTGCAGGTTGTATTAACTGGATTTATTAGACTGATTAATATTGATTCTACTAAAAATAGATAATAATTGCCAACAAAAAATATACTTTGTGTTTAGAAAATTTTGTTTGTACAATTGTGTACGTGAGCAAGATCCAAAAATTCCTTCAAGTACAAGTTATTAACCTTTAGAATTTGGACTAACAGAGTCTTGTATTATTTTTCAGAAAAAGGCTTGTTTTCAACAGTTTTTTGACCTCTTTGAAAGCTTTGTGCCATCTAAAAACACAATAGAGTTGCATCTGCCATAGCTTAGCCAAACTTTCAGATGTTATGCTGGGAGGTTTATTGACTTTAATATAAAATTTGATGGCATAATTTTTGTTTGATATTTGTTTTCATTAAAAGTTTTACAAGATTACTCAACATAACTTTGCACAAACCATAATAGCTTCATACTGAAAAAAGTTGCATCAGCAAATGCATTTTTGGTTAGATAACAATTCCATCTATACAAGAATATGCAATATCATCTGCAAAATGAAAGTTGAGCATATGAATTTTTGTCCACTTTTTCTCTTGGGGCATATTCTGTACATTCAGCTGTTGGGATGTGAGTCTCTGTTTCTTTCTCTCTCTCTCTCTCTCTCTCTCATCCAGCATACTCATTTTATTTTTCCATCAACATTCTTTTATTTTCTTAATCATCTCCATCATTTTCTAGCTAAGAAAACATTTATGTAAGAAACAACCAGATATCAGATTTTTAATGGCTTCACCTCCTGCAAACCCAAGTTTTATGAAGAAGGCATTCATGTATTTGTCACTTGACAGAAGTTTATAGATGCTGCTTGAGATAATTTTGATTACAGTGCTAAGTGCTGTCATATTATGTTTTGTGATTTGTAAATGTGTTCTGTGAAATTGGTCATTTTATATGCAACAACCTTATATTTATTGTGTGTATTGCTTGAAAATTTTATATTGACTGTTGTTATATATATTATTTATATGAGGTTCAAGTAAAAATGAACCAAACTGCTATCACAAGTTTTATTATGGCAGCATACAAAAATTCTTATACCATATCATCTTGAAAACAAGCTCCTCTGGCAGCTGCACACTTTAGCCAGCATCCATAACATTTGTCGAAACAACCCTTAAGGCCATTTATATTTGCTTAAAAGCAAATATAAAGCAAATGGTCAGAAGCAAAATGAGGCATGAAGGGTGGTGCCACAGCTTTCACCCTTCATGCCTCAGCCCTTCACTTTTTTTCATGTTAAGGAACAGATAAAAGTCTGTGGTAAAACCACTTTCTAAAATTTACTTTTTCCTTTGGGGAAGCACTGTTATGCCCTTTTTTAATCAGATATTCACAATAATGCTCCTGTACAGCTGTTCCTTGTCAATGAATATTTGATTAAGAAGAACTTATTGTTTTTCACCACTTCTTTACTTTTTTATCTTGCTCATGCAGACTTTTATCTGTTCCCAAAACAAAAGAGAGATTGAAGGGTTGCAAGTTTCAATCATCAGAAGAAGTGAAAGTTACTAAAGTGGTGAGAGCTTTTAAAACAGCACAAAAATTTGCCTCAAACACTGTTTTGGCAAGTGATGAAGAAGTATGTTGCATCAAAGCAGCTTACTTTGAATGTGGTGTAGTATAAGAGTTGTATTTAACAATTAGTCTAAATCAACAAGACACATATGGTCTTATCACAGCAGCGAATGTGAATAAGCCCATATGATGATTGTGAAGTTGTCATGTTTACAATGGCCTTTTAAATGTATTTATAATTTATTTACTGTATAATTTTATATGTATGAACACCAACTGAAGAGGGACTATTTATTATGTCCAAAATGCATTTTGAATGTTCTATATTATGTACAGTACATTTTAAAGGAGTCTCAGTTTATTGTAAATTTTTACTATTAAGGTGTTAATAATCATTAAAGAATTTGTTAATTAATCTTATTCACTGGTGTGATAAGCCCGTATGTATGTATGTATGTATGTATGTATGTATGTATGTATATATACAGTAGACCCCCCTATAAAGCGTAGATACATTCCATGTTATATGAATTTCACATTGTAGGAATCCTTAAATACATGAGCCAATCGCAGCCCGACACGTGTGAAGTTTACGGACTACAGCTGTTTGAAAGGTTTTCTTCCATAAAATTAATCGATTCTAGACTAATTCGACTCAACATTTCCAAAACACATATAATTTTTTGGGGAACAATCCATATAAATTATGCTATAAACAAAAAATTGTAGGATTACTTACCAAGTGTGCACCGTTCAACATCGCCATTGCTTAAGTTTGTTTTCATCACGGAGCAGCGCACCAAACAGTGGCCGCGATTTTTGATAAGTTATTTTTCTGCGAAAAATTTGTTGAACTTTGGAGACATCATTAATATAAATAATTTNCTGGTAAAAAAATTTACACTTCTGCATTAGATCTAGTCAAATGTTTCATGTACATAATCAACAATCCACAAGACATTCCAAAATTTTTTACTTGTGTCATTATATGTATGTGAAACTCAAAAATAATAGCAATAAAGACCTTCACACAATACAGAGCTATCACATGCCTTCTGCAGTGCAAAGTCTAAAATATACTTACATTATACTTACATCATTCATCACAAACAAAATGTACCATCAAATAGAACAACATTCTTACAGAATAACAAAAAGACTGTTGAAGAAACAACATGGGGTGAAAAGAATAGTTATTCATGGAATTAGTTATTCTATGACAAGTGCACAAATAATACATGTGGCATACATACAATAGATTACAGGAAAGCATTCAATAGCATCCTACAGTTATAGTTGTACACATGCTATACCATGTACAAAAGATATCCAACATTTATTACATTTCTAGGAAATGTAATGAAATACTGGAGAACTTTAAAACAAACCAAATACATATTAGGTGAGACATTTTCTAGGAAGATTTTCTAAGTTCACTCTGTATCTGTCTGGCCTTAAACTCAATGTCTAATAGGTTAAACAATACAAAATATTGATACATCAAATAAAATAAAACAACACAAAATGCATTATTCCATCTTTTATATATGGACAACTTAAAACTCTACACATCAACCCAAGTACAACTAAAACATGTACTAAATATTACATACATTACTATTGACATACAAATGAGGATTGTTCTAGATTAATACAAAACACTTTACAAAGCAAAAAGGAATTTTGAAGAATAGTTTTGGACAATATTGAATTCATGGACAAATGGAGGTCTATGATTATTTATGATTACAACAAGCCAAGTTCACAGAACATACACAAGTAGAATAGAGACTAACAGAAAAAAATGCAACAGATATTGAGTATAATACTTAATACTAAAAACACATTTGTATAACAATAAACACATCATCCCAGTACTCATGTATTTATTTCAGGTTATATGTTTGAACTGTTCTGTTTCTCTGTATTAATGAAAGCACAGACAATATTAACAAAGTATAACAAATACTACCCTAAATCCTCCATAGAAAAGTGGACTTTCTCATAAAGAGGGAAAATATGACTAGACTCCACAGTTATATCTACATAACAAACAAATACTCTACAAGAGTATTTCACTGAAAATCATATATTATACTATATATATACTTATATATATATACAAGTATATATACAAGGGTTGTTCAAAAAGTTCCTGAACTTTATTTATTACAAAAAAAAAAATACTTCACTTACAATTTATTTGTCAGGGTCTCCTTCAAAGTAGTCTCCTCCCCAACATATACACTTATCCCAATGGTGTTTCCACTTTTTGAAACAGTCCTGGAATGCTTTTTCCGAATGCTCATAAGCTTCTCCGTCATTTTTTTATCTCTGGAATGGTGGCAAATCTTTTTCCTTTGAGCGTGTTTTTTAATTTGGGGAACAGGAAAAAGTCGCAGGTGAGTAGGGTGGGTGGGTAAGAGCACAGCAGTCTTGTTTTTGGCCAAAAACTCACGAATTCTGAGGGACTAATGAGCTGGCATGTTGTTGTGGTGAAAAAACCACTTGCCACTCTTTCAAAGTTTGGGCCGTTTTCGCCTGATTCTGTCTCTTAAGCATTTCATAACCCCCAGGTAGTACTTCGTGTTGACTGTCTGGCCTGTAGATAGGTATTCACGATGCACAACCTCCCCTTTGCATCAAAAAAACAGTCAACATCACCTTAACATTTGAACAAATTTGTAGAGCTTTCTTGGGGCGGGGGGGATGTTTCACCACCAGGGAAGTTTCCATGAAGGATTTTTCGAGTTTTACACAGAATTTCACAGAACAACGCTGCTCCTTCAATGAGCTCATTTCCGCAGATTCGATTTTTTGCCAAACTCCACAAACACCCCTTCACATAAACAGTCATATCTAATCACCAAAACAAGATATCAATAAACGGACTGAAGGAGGTTACTTGGGAGGTTTCCGTGGACACAATGCCTTCAAGCAGATTAAAAAATATTCTCTATAAAACAGTTTTTTATGAAGCTTATAATATCTAAAAAAAAACAAATTGTAACAATAACGTAATTAACTTAGCAGTTTTCTAGAAAATATTTTAAATTACATGATTTATCTTCACTCCTGTACTTTAATTAATATTGAACATTGCTATTTTAAANAAACAAGATATCAATAAACGGACTGAAGGAGGTTACTTGGGAGGTTTCCGTGGACACAATGCCTTCAAGCAGATTAAAAAATAACCAACTGGAGGCATGCTATTCAGAAAGTTTGGGAACTTTTTGAACAACCCACATATATATATATACACACACAAGGTCTTCTAAAAGGAAAGCCATTATTTTAAATTATTGTAATTATGTTAATTATTATCTGAGAGCTTTGTAATGGACAGTTTTCCAATGTTTTAATGTACAAGTTTCACATTTCTTCATTACAGTTTGTGTGTGTGTAAATTGTGTCACAAGGCACCCATTCAACCAATACTCAAACTCTTCCTACATTTGTTACAGCAGATTTGTAGTCACGCCTTAACAGCAGCAACAATTCTACAGTTCTTGCAGACTACTCATGTTGCACAATGATAAGTGATTCTAATTTTGTGAACTGCAGAACACAAAACACTCTAAGAATCACCTTTTGCTTATGTCACTAGGTGTAGTAGACAACAAGACATTTGAATGCAGGTGGGAGATGAAACTCAGACAGTTACTCTATTGAATGGTAAACATTGCAAACTTTTCAGATAATAATTAACATAATTACAAATTTAAAATAATAGCATTCATTCTGAAACATACTATAAATATAGCACAATATTGATTTACATACAAGCTTAATAATGCCTGTATCTTACTTATACTTTAAAGATTGTATTTTAAAATTGAGTTGAATAAGATAAAACATAAATCAGAGTTACACTATGTATGATTAAGTTAATAAATTCAAAATAAAAATGATCATGTTCTACAGATTACATAGATGAAAATGAATCATAAAATATAAAATTGCTATTTTTAATAAATAAAGATAGATGTATATAGGAAAATTTATTCTGTTTTTGTTATATTACTTATTTCAATTAATAATTGAATTTATTGTTTATTTCATTTAAATGTGAACATTTTTTAAAAAAGAAATTACACAATAAAATAACTCATTTATCTCCTAAATTGAGGATACCAACTTTCTTTTTATTCACTGCAACATTTTCAGCTATATACAAATCATTTTTAACAGTTATATAATAGAATAGGATATAAACATTTTTACTTTCCTGGCACTGTTATACATAACAAAGAGAAAATATGGTGATTGGTCAAAAAATGACCACTCTTAAGATTTTCACATTTTTAGACTTGGACCTTGAAACATCAAGAAATGCAAAAAAAGATGGTTTTTTTTTTTCTGTGGAGGATACAATTTTGTTTACAGACCTTGAAGCTTAATAATGCCTGTATTTTATGTCAAAAATTTTGCAGGGAGGATTGATGCTACTAAATATTGGTGGTTAAAGGTCAAAGTGGTAGGGAAATTGAGGGGGGGTCTGTATGGCATATCTCTAGTAGGGTTGGACTTAATGACAATTTTACTCATTATTAGCATTTACTATTTTTTTTATAAAACCCATCTCTATTCTTTTTGCTTTAATTAAGCTTTTTGCAATTTTATAATTAAAAATAAAAAAGTTTTTTAAATAAAATATCACAACAGATGGTACCATATGCACAATTTTAAATGTTGCCAGGAAAGTTAAGTAACTCATTACTGGATTTTTTGGAATGGAAGATGATAAAAGTACTGTCATCTTCTGAGGTGTTTTGTTGATCTTGATCAGAAATGTCAGCGACATGTTTGTATTTTTTATTTTTATTATAAAAAGTTTGTATGAATGATGAAATAAAAATATGTTATTAATCAAAAATTTATTCTAGCAGGTAATGCTTGTTCAATCAAGTACTGTGCAAATTTTTTCCATAATTTGTATTCAAATACTAAATTGTTTGAGTTGGAACAGTTCAAGTATGGCGGTAAGTCATACCTCGAACCACCAACATACCATATTGTGGGTTTGAGTCACGCTTCGGGCCAAGTCTTTTCTTCCAGTTTAATCTAAATTATTTAATTAAATATTTAATTATTAATTTTCATACGAGATCGCACCTAACGTTTCCCTCTAGTGCCAAATTCATTTATAATTCAGAATTATACCAAATTATAGCTATATGATTTACAGCAATTGTTGGTGAGTTATTGCATTACATCAGGTTTATAGGGATGTTTATATAAACATACCACCGTATTTTATTCATCATTTTTACAAATAATTGCTTATGTATGGTTAAAAAAAGCTTAATAACACTTACCTAAAAATGTTTAATCTTCATATTTAGTAAAGTTTATTTAATCTATAAAAAACAAAACACAGTGACAGTCACAGTTTTAATAAAAAAAAAATATTGAATAACAATTTGCACCTAACACTTGTGAAATTTTGTATGGAGGGTTTCCCAAATTCTTGAACAATATTGGAGCCAAACCAGAAACTATGTTATATGGGAAATTTCACCAAGTTTTTAAACTGTATTGTACAAGGGATACCTGTATTTGAGTCCTACATTTTAATTTTTATCATTAAAGATTTTCAGTCATTCTTAGGCTGTTATATTTAATTATATTTTATTTATAGTTTATATAGATGTGAAGCCAAAAAAGTTATAATTTAGAGACCAAAACATTTTTTGTATTTTAATTAAAGTTGAAATCATTTATAATCTTTAAAAATGTTCCATAGCTCATTCCAAAAATTTTTTATATTCTATTCTGTTATGTAACAACTTCAAAGATGACTTGCATATAGTCAAAAACATTTCAGTAAATAAAAAGAAACTTGGTATCCTCAGTTTAGTGGATGAAGAGTAATTTTATTGTGCCAAATTATTCAGAATATAAAAATAAATTATTATTCAAATTATATTATTGTTTAGATTTTAAGTATTAGAATTGTTTAATGCATTGTAAATTTTTTATTAGGAGCAAAGTGGTAGTACTGTTCCTTCTATATTAAATAGAATGGAAACAAAAGAAATACCTCCAACATATAATAGAACAAATAAATTTTCACAAGGATTTCAGAACATTGTAGATGCATACGGTGTAGCTAACTACAGAGAAGTTAATCCAGGCAAGTCAAAATGCATTTTTTGATCATATGTTTTATGAAGTTTTTTAAAATCTTGCATATACTAAAATTTAATTCTTAAATTTTATTTATTCTTGTAATTTATTCTTGTAATTTATTCTTGTATTTATTATTTTGTAAAATAAAAATAATATCAAATCTGTAAACTCAAGATCAACATCTAGAAAAGCAAATTGAATAGATTATAGTGTTCTGGATGTATGATATAAGATGTGAAATACAAGAAGAGTTAAAAAGAAAAATTTTAATATATGAGAATAACGTGCAGAAATATATCCAAAAGATTGGATAAAAAAAAGGATTAAAAAAATTATCCCTAGTTAACTAGGAAGAATAGTTTTTCCATATTATTTTTAAAATATTCCAGTTTTTTCATTTCACTTATTTTATAATGTATTAATTCATCTACATAAAATTGCTAACAGAAATAAAAAAATAGAAGGGAAATACATGGCTAAGTCAGAAAGTAAGTTTTGTTTAGTTTTTGTAGAACTGTAAAAGATAAGGTAAGACATTCTGTTTTGTTTGGGCATTGTTGTCTTATTTTTCAACGTAACCACAAGATTTGTTTAGACATTTATTGTAGTATACCATTAGATTTTCCATAACATGAAATAGAAATTGATATCTTGTTTCTTGAGCCTTTTTACTTTGTCTTTGGCATAGTCATTATAGGAAATTGTCTTTCCTGCAGATGTTTTTTCAATTTTCCAAATGGTTTATCCTTTGATCACTTGTTATCTTTGTCATTTTGCAACTATTGATGCATTTGTGTTCTGTATATTGTTTCACTTGCCATCTAGCATGTATGACTATATACTATCTGATGTCCAAGTTTCAGTAAGCTATGCTTGTTTGTTTCTGAGTAATAAAATGGTGAACTTACTCCTATAGAATGTCAGATGATGCCTTCTAAATTGCCTAAAGTGTTTTTAATGGCAACTTCCATGATGTAGAATATATGGGATATACAATATTTTTATTTTTGCTTATACTAATATTGCTGAGAAGAAGATAGATAGATTTTTATTTTTGTTTTAACAATTTTCTGTGGAATATATGCCACCACAAGTAATGTGCAGAAAATTATAGTAATTACATACAGGAGTTATTAGACCTTAAAGTGTTTTAAATATTGAACTATTTATGTAATATATTTATATATATATAATAGTCCACCAGACAACCAAGAATTCAAGTTGTAAATCAAATTTTAGCATAAATACTTCATTAAATAATTTGTGCAGTGGGTTCAGCAGTGGGATAGTCAGATATGGTGCTACCCCAAAGTAGTGGAGAATAAACATGGGAAACTTTTGAAGTATTTTTTCACTTGTTTTTTCTGTTTTGGAAAAAGATTTTGTAAATAGTTATGTCTAGTAAAGAAAAGTCTTTTTTTATTGTTACATAATTCATTTTTTATGTGAATTTATTTTCATGGTAGTTTTTGGCGATACCCCCAAAAGAATTTAACGAATATATCCATCCCTCACCACTGCCACATGATCGCCCTGGACAGATATATCTGTCCCTCACTGTTGAGTGGTTAAAGCTAGCCAATACAGATATTTAGTGCTGTGTCCTATTTCTTTCAATTTTTTGTTTGATATTGTTATATAATAATTTTAAGTTATGAATGTATCCAGATTGAAGGTTCCCACATTCCCACCCAGTTTGCAGCAGTCACAAATCAAATTTGATTTTTCTTTGGGTTGATATTTTCTTTCAGACATTTTATGTCTGAAATAATTTATTTAACTTTAATTATTAAATAAATTAAATTGTTGCATAAAAGTAATCTGCACTTTTGAGCTACTTGGTTAATTGTTATATATTGTCAGCCTGGTTTATAAACCTTATATCTCCAAATTCCATGTATTTGAGATTATTGTATCATCATAATCAAAATGGTGTGATGTATCTTCTGTATGGTCATAAACCTTGTGTTTCTGGTGCATTTGATTTTAGATAGGTAAAAATTCATTGCCACAGATGCAGTACTTCTCTCAAAAACCTATTTTTTATATCTCCTGTAAAGTAGATATTTTGAAGATATGAGGTTTGTGAACTAGACTGACAATATGTATATTTAATACTTTAGTAAAATAAAAGTAGCTAATACAGATAGATTTATTTAAAAAGTTGCTTTCACAAAAGAAACTTTTATGACATTTTTAAATAACTCGAGAAAATAAAAATTCCAACTTTTCTTTTTATGAATTTTTAGTTTATTAGAGAAGACTTAACCTTGATTGAAATTATTTCTTCTTTCTTTCTGATTTATTAAATTTTTCTTTACAGCACCTTATACGATTATAACATTTCCATTTTTATTTGCTGTCATGTTTGGAGATGCTGGTCATGGTCTTTTAATGTTTCTTTTTGCTGCATGGATGGTACTTAAAGAAAAAGGTTTGGCTGCCCAAAAATCAGATAATGAAGTAAGTGATGTAAATAGTGCTATCTTCATTGATTTTACTTTTCAATATATTGATATAAAGTATTTCATGAATATTAATTTTGTAGTTGATAATTAATAGTTACTGTATTTCTGTGAATAACTAAAACAATACTTAATGAGGTTCAATCAAAAAGAAGCTAATTTGATATAAAAAGATATTAATGCTTAACTAATTTAAATCCAACTGCCATTCTCTTAAAAGTAGTCCTCCCCTGCATTTATACAGTGATTCAAACACTTTTTCCAATTTTCAAATACTCCTTGGAAGTCATTGTTTTGAAAATTTCAAAGTACCTGTTGTGATTAGGACTGGATCTCCTTGACCATAACAACAATGCTGCCTATTCAATTTCAATTTCATTTTGGAGAACAAAAAGAAGTCACAAGGGGTGATATGAGTAAACTATAATGAGTAAAGATAGTAGGGAAGACTGTCTGTCATAAAAAAAATAGTTTTTATGTTTAGAAAAATGCTCTTGTTTCAAAGGTTATATGTGCAGAGGAGTTATGATGGATCCAGTTCAGTTATACTGTAGTTCTGGTCAATTTCTGACAAATATCTTCTGCGTTTGATTCAAAATATTGCAGCAAAAGTCTGAAATTTACTATTTGACCAAGAGTAATTAGCATAATGGGATTGTGAACCACAATCCCATTATGATAAAGGGGAAAAAGATCAACATTTTCTTTGTCACACTTTTGTCTTGTTTTCTTAGGTCTGAGAACAAGATCTCATCCATGGCTTAGTTGGCATAGGGCTGAAAGCAAAAAATGTAGACCTTTTGCAAGAGCAAAAGGTCTACATGGCCTTTGTCAGTTATTTGCCCATGGTCAGTGATTGACCCATTAGTTTTTGAAATACTTTGTGGGGTGAGACTTGTTACCACCCTGTACTTATTTTCACTATTTTAATAAAGCATTTTAAATGAAAAGCTTTCTTATGCTTCAAGATATTTGGTTTTAAAATTGTAAATCACTACTATTAAATTTTAACTTGATACTTCTTAAAATACACTGAGCTCAGTACATTTTCCAAATTAGTGATTTATTGATGAAATTTTATTCATTAGATCATATGAATTATCATATGTGTATTAATATTATTTGTTTTAATTTTTTAGATATGGACTACATTTTTTAATGGAAGATACATCATTTTACTCATGGGTGGTTTTTCTATTTATACTGGATTAATATATAATGATGCCTTTTCAAAATCATTAAATATTTTTGGATCTTCCTGGCTTGCACCTAAAATGTAAAATAACTTAGCAATTGTTTTAATTTTATTATATTTTAAACTTTATTTATTTAAAATTGAAAGACTATTATAAACTTTACTTTTTCAGATCAAATGAATTTTATCCACCAAAAGAGGTTTTAAATCCAAAAGAGTTTGATGTTCCATATCCATTTGGAATAGATCCTGTAAGTTTCTTAATATTACATCTAAGATTTTTATTTAAAACTGATGTCAAAGTAAATTTTTTTTCATAAATTATCATAGTTACTCATATAATCCATTTTTGGAAAAAAATTGTGATTTGAGTGCATAGTTTGAGTGCATAGTTTATTTGAAACATTCAGTGATGCAACCCACAAATTTACTAATTCCAGTTACTAANTTTTTTTTTTAATTAATGCAATTTGCCAAATTTTCTTGAAGATCAAATATGTCTAGGTTTTAACTGGACATACAATGTAAAAATCAGACAGGTGGCAACACCAGGAATCATATTGGTGGGGATAGATAGCTTAGTTGATCATGGGAGGGGTACAAATATATGGTGGCTACAGTTTGTTTTATTGTGAGATAGTTGTAACCTGGAGTATGCCTGTATTACTAAAAATTTTCAGAAAATGATACAAAATTTGTGAAACAGTTTTATTCATCTCATTAAACTAGAGTAAATTTGTGTTGTTGTTTTATTAAAATGCAATATTTAAAACTTGCTGAAAACATAAGTTGCTGATTCATCTCATGTAATGATAAATTTGAATATAAAAAATTACACCTCAATTTAATATTTCCAGCAAAGAAATTCAATCTTCTAACATTTTTGGGCCTCGTCACAAACTGTAAAATGGAAGAACTGTTGTATAAATAGAATGCCGTCACATTCTAAGTTTAAAAGTTTTAAATACACTCGATTACAGGTTGTGACGTATCCTTATATGGCATACAGTTTGAGTCTAGATAGTATTTCCATGCATTTGGTACAAAAATGGCATTCGTGTTGATGCAGGCTCCACTCTTGTCCACCCTGTAAATCTCTACAGCTTCTAATGTTTTGCTGGTTGAAGTAACTTGGTCCCAACAGGGGAAATCCCCGGATCTAAGTCTTTTGCTTGCTTTGCTAGTGATAACAATAATTGATTGTTACAAGCAATATTATTAAATGTTTTGTTATGACCAATTTCATGAAATTGTTAAAAATTTTATAATTGTGAATTAACAACATATTCAAAAGATTTTATAAAAATATATTTTTGTGTTCATTTAACCATTCCTTAGCAACAACTATGCATTTATGTTGTTTAAAAATTCAATGTAAAATTGGTCTGAAACTGAGTAATAGCTCAAGAATGTGCTTTTCAATATTGTGAAATCATTTGTCATTACTCTTTTAAGACATTCTGTTTAATTTGATATATATGAATACTATCTTATAAATGTGGAACTTGTATCCAAAGTCTAGCATTACTTTTAGTATTACAAAGTCTTTTTCTTTTAGAAACACCTGTGTATGTATGGTAGGTCAGTGAAAAAATTGTTTACTTAAATGAAAAATGTTCATTTTTCTTTCAGCATTTGAATTTATAGCACATTAATTACTTCAAGAATAAGCAAAGTACAAATAAATGAGAAATATATGCCAGAAACAATGGAATTAATGGAATTAAGTAGGAATGTTATATTGGGTTCCTTTTGAGCTTATTTAGTTTTTTGAATATATGTAGGGACTCCACAATTACATGTTTGGGACAACAGTTCATATCTTAAAAGGCAATCCATTTAATCATCTAACAGTGAGCTTCCTGAATATTGGATCACTCTTATTAAATTGTTTAAGTAAATTGGATTTGTTTATGATTTAACATTAATATAAAATTTTATAACATATATTTTTATGATAATTTTATGTTCCTTTAATTAATTTAAATTCTTGAATTCTTATTCTAAATGTGTTTAAAAAATGTAACTTATTTTGTATTTATGTTCTGATCTTAATCCATTTTTGTTCAGTTTAGAACAATAACATTCAAAATTATTTACATCATTAGCTTAAAGTACTCTTAATTATATTTATACTGTTTGATTGTTTGAATATGTTTTATAGTTTTTAATACTATAAGATAGCTAAGTACTTATTAATTAAATAGCTTTTGGTATATAATTATGGTATTTTTTAGTAATATTTGTAAATATTTATCTTTTAAAATAATTTTGATATATTATTTTTAAAAGATAAACATTTACGAATACATGCATACCTCATGTTACGTACATAATGCATACCATCAAATAGTGGTTGTATTGTGAATTGTCATTTCCCATATATTTACATACATTTTATTTTAATTAATTCATACATGTATGTTAAATTTAATAATAATAATAATCTTTATTAGCATAAAGGGAAGTGTCCCTGTTGCAGGGGGCCATACAATGGGATATTATAAATTTTTAGTAATATTTACATAATATACAGGATATCAGTATCAAACAATTTGATAGTTATAATAATATTATTTACATTAACAGTCAGATGTACAATGTTGGTAATATTTAATATACTGGCTCAGATTTACAACATTTTTGTGATTTCAATGAAAAAGTTATACAGACTGTAGAGATCTTTTTTATTCAGTTCAGACTGTTTAAAATATTTCTATAATCTTGAGATGAGTCGTTTTGNATCAGTTTTCTTATATAGGCTCTACATATCAGTTTGTAGTTATTTATAAGTAATTTAATTATTAGTATTAATAAAGTAGTGAGTAAGTAATTAGTAGTAGTCTAGTAGTTAGTTATTATTATCACAGTCATGAATAATGTACATTCATATCATCATATATCTAAGATACTGATACTCATTAATTTAATTAACTAACTAGGTAGTTTCAGTTTTCCTACTAATTTTCACAATAAAATTGCCTACCTAGCCCACTAACCACTTATGGAATAAAAGTTAAAAACTCTTACTTAATAGAATTAGAGTAGAAGTTAGAAAATATTAGTCTTGTCTTGAATAAAGTATTTTAAAGGATTAAATAAAATTAAATCAATCACTTCTGTTTTTTTTTTTTACTTTTCTAAAAGTAGGATCTCAAGAAACAAATGGTATTGATGGTGTTGTCTCCCAACCTACTTCTTAATGAACTGCATATATATCCCACCCTATATAAGGCCTTTTCTGTCTCTACGCTAGTTGGTTTCAGTGTCATCAAATAATGATAAATCAAAGATAAGTTTTCACCTCTGACTCCCTCACTTTCATAAACAGCCATTTCCTTTTNGGACAAATGTTGTTTGGAGTTTTATTGAGTCTTTGGAATCATCGGTAATGCTATATTAACTTTTATAAATATTGAAAAACTTATTCATTATTCAGTTACTAGTTTTATTCAAATAATATCTATAGATACTATTTCAAATTGCATATTTTCTCTGTTAGTTAATATTCGAGGGCAATTATTTTTTTATTTGCACATATAGTATAACTATTTTATGTCTATTATTAATAAAGTATTTATTTATGAAAATTAGATTTTTAAAACAAATTATACTTTGAAGATTTCAAATTTGAAGAAAATTTCAAAGTATAATTTGTTTGTATACCAGAAATATTTGTAAATAATTGTTTGTATACCTTTTATATACCAGAAATAAGAAAATGTTGATAATTAAAAATTACACTTAACTATATATTATACATTTCATGCATTTCATTTTCTAATAAAGTTTGTTTATTAAATAAATATGTTACTTATCTGTTATAGTTTACAATATTTTTTAATTTTACATTATTTTTCTAAGTTTTTGTCAGGCTATTATTTGGGGACAGTTATTATTTCATGTTTTAAGGACAAGATCTGGTTACTGTTTGAGGGTGGCTAATACTCAAATAAATCCAGTATGCTGTAATTAGGGATTGCAATCCAGCAGTGTTTTTAATCCAGCTGGATTTTTGCTGGACCAACATCATTCCAGCTGGATCCAGCGCGGATCCAGCTGGAATGATGCGCGGATGTTTTTTGGTGCAATAAAGTGTTATCTATCTATTCATCCAAAATTTATGGTTTTTTTAAAAGAAATAAAACATTTTTTTTTAAATACTTAAGAAACTTTTATTTAAACTGGTCACTATAAATCAGTAAAACTTCTTACACATTTAAGTAGTAAACTTTGGTTCGGTTTAACACTTGAGATAGAGATTATTAACTTTCAATGTTTAGTTAGATTATAATTATAATGTAATCTTTAAGTTAAATAATAACAAAGATAATTCTACTAATTAATTTATATTAATATATTATATTATAATAATGTAAGGATGGATAATCANTAGTTATGCTTTATTAACCTTGATTTATATTTTACATTATATTTCAAATATTAACTTATTTCATACTGATAAAGTAATAAAGCATTGTTCAGTCAGCATACAAATGTACTATAGTATATCATTGAGTAATTCATCCCAGTTTAGAGTAAAATTAATTGTACTTATTCAATAATTTTGATAGTGCTTATTGAAGATATTTTCTTTCATGTCAGTTTTTATTCTTTAAGATATATTCTAATGCCATCTATTGTCAGTAGCATGTTTGAGTTCAGTTGTATTTGAGCCATGTTGAATTAACAATATTATTATCAGCTATGTTGTGTATTTATGTTTTTCATCCATTTACATGAGACAAAACATAATAGTTATTTCTCTGGAAAAAAAATTGAAAAAACATTTTATATCAGATTATATTTGCAGCTCCAAAGAAGAAAAGATTTGTTTTGAATTAATACATATAAACTTTCACTCATTCTATTTTGGTTTGCAACTTCATGAAAAATATTTAGATTAAAAGCAAACATTTACAAAATTGTCATATTGTTGCTATGTATTTTATTCATATTTTGTGTAATTTTTTTAATTGAATATGTAATTAGTTTATATTTAGATTTTGAAGATCAGTAGACTTTTGTTTAAATTATAATAAAATTCTTAAAATTACTCTGTAGATCTTTTTAGTTATTTATTTCAATTTATAATGATAGCAATATTAATTTTTGTATAACATTGTAATCTTAATTTTATTTTCAGGTATGGCAAATTGCAGAAAATAAAATTATTTTCATGAATTCTTATAAGATGAAAGTTTCAGTTATATTGGGAGTAGGACAAATGTTGTTTGGAGTTTTATTGAGTCTTTGGAATCATCGGTAATGCTATATTAACTTTTATAAATATTGAAAAACTTATTCATTATTCAGTTACTAGTTTTATTCAAATAATATCTATAGATACTATTTCAAATTGCATATTTTCTCTGTTAGTTAATATTCGAGGGCAATTATTTTTTTATTTGCACATATAGTATAACTATTTTATGTCTATTATTAATAAAGTATTTATTTATGAAAATTAGATTTTTAAAACAAATTATACTTTGAAGATTTCAAATTTGAAGAAAATTTCAAAGTATAATTTGTTTGTATACCAGAAATATTTGTAAATAATTGTTTGTATACCTTTTATATACCAGAAATAAGAAAATGTTGATAATTAAAAATTACACTTAACTATATATTATACATTTCATGCATTTCATTTTCTAATAAAGTTTGTTTATTAAATAAATATGTTACTTATCTGTTATAGTTTACAATATTTTTTAATTTTACATTATTTTTCTAAGTTTTTGTCAGGCTATTATTTGGGGACAGTTATTATTTCATGTTTTAAGGACAAGATCTGGTTACTGTTTGAGGGTGGCTAATACTCAAATAAATCCAGTATGCTGTAATTAGGGATTGCAATCCAGCAGTGTTTTTAATCCAGCTGGATTTTTGCTGGACCAACATCATTCCAGCTGGATCCAGCGCGGATCCAGCTGGAATGATGCGCGGATGTTTTTTGGTGCAATAAAGTGTTATCTATCTATTCATCCAAAATTTATGGTTTTTTTAAAAGAAATAAAACATTTTTTTTTAAATACTTAAGAAACTTTTATTTAAACTGGTCACTATAAATCAGTAAAACTTCTTACACATTTAAGTAGTAAACTTTGGTTCGGTTTAACACTTGAGATAGAGATTATTAACTTTCAATGTTTAGTTAGATTATAATTATAATGTAATCTTTAAGTTAAATAATAACAAAGATAATTCTACTAATTAATTTATATTAATATATTATATTATAATAATGTAAGGACAGATAATCAGTGGCTAAGTGGCTATCAGTCTTACCAGTTTTCTTATATAGGCTCTACATATCAGTCTGTAGTTATTTATAAGTAATTTAATTATTAGTGTTAGTAAAGTAGTGAGTAAGTAATTAGTAGTAGTCTAGTAGTTAGTTATTATTATCACAATCATGAATCATATACATTCATATCATCATATATCTAAGATACTGATACTCATTAATTTAATTAACTATTTAACTAACTAGGTAGTCTCAGTTTCTCACTAATTTTAACAATAAAATTGCCTAGCCTAGCCCACTAACCACTTATAGAATAAAAGTTAAAAACTCTTACTTAATAGAATTAGAGTAGAAGTTATAAAATATTAGTCTTGTCTTGAATAAAGTATTTTAAAGGATTAAATAAAATTAAATCAATCACTTCTGTTATTTTTTTGACTTTTCTAAAAGTAGGATCTCAAGAAACAAATGGTATTGATGGTGTTGTCTCCCAACCTACTTCTTAATGAACTGCATATATATCCCACCCTATATAAGGCCTTTTCTGTCTCTACGCTAGTTGGTTTCAGTGTCATCAAATAATGATAAATCAAAGATAAGTTTTCACCTCTGACTCCCTCACTTTCATAAACAGCCATTTCCTTTTTTAATAACTTATCACAATCCTTTTCAGTACTAGTTTCTTTCCGTTTCATAAAGTTTTCTTTTTCACGCTTTAGTTGGATCTCCAATTCTTGTTCCAATGTGAAATTCAGGGAATTCGGGTTATCTGGATCATCGTTTTCCAACTCTGTAATATCCTCTGTCATTGCTGCTGGTTCCACTACATATGCATTTACACAATTCAGCATATTTTTCATCTCCTGGCGCATTACATTTTTTTCTGCATGTGAAAGATAAAGCTTTCTAACTTTTTGGTCATACTTCTTCGGGTTCTGTATGTAAATAAGCATCCCTGTGACCTCGGTAAGACGCTGTTCTCTGATTCTTTTGTGGCGTGCCTCGGAAAGGTTGGCACTCAAGATTGTGTCCTGGCTTTTTAGTTTGTCTAAGACAAATTTCAGGGTTGTGTCAGCAGTTATCAAACTCGACTCTTCTGCAGAGAGCTTCTACGGCCAGTTTAAACTGCAATCGTTCCGTCACGTGATTCATTGACGTCACAACAAACTGTAAATTAGAATTATGCACCAGGACTAAGATAAGAGTTACTTATTTTATTTAGCGCAAAGACACTTTATTTAGCGAGAGCAGAAAGTCAGCTGGCAATTAGATCAGCAGAGGTAAAAGGGCGGGCGGTGCGGTGTAGAGAGGGGGTGTAGCACGTGTCGCACTGAACGGCAATGTAGCTCTCACCACCAAGCGATAGCGCACATAGCAAAGCGGCAAGGTTGACAACGTAGACTTTTGCGCCATTACTTAGAAAGTTAATTGAGTATTTGCGGATCCACAGCGCTGGATCCAGCACCTGGTGCTGGATCCAACAGGCCGAAAAATGTGCTGGATCCAGCTGGATTGCTGGATGAGGGATCCAGCAATTGCAATCTCTAGCTGTAATGTATATGAAATTAATGCTCAATAAGATACTGTGCTTGTTACTACATTATTACACATTGCAAGAAATTCTTAATTCTTAAACATTTATTTATTATGGATGCCAAGATACCATTTGAAATTCTAATTAAATAAATAAAAAGTTAACAATTTTTATTTTATAAAGCTAAAATTTGATTCTTTGCTTAGTTCTGTGAATAGAACTATAAGATTAACCAGTTGCTTGAGAAAAAGATTTTCAAAATAATTTAGACTTATATATAATTTATAACATAAAGTGAAAAAGTAATTTAATTGATTAATTTTTTTCTTTGTGAATATTTTTCTATATTAAATTCTATCAATATGAATCTTAACTTTTCAATTATTCTAATAAAATTTTTTATTAATTTCAGATATTTCAATCATAAGTTGAATATCATCTGTGAATTCATTCCTCAAATTATATTCTTGGTTTCCATTTTTGGTTATCTTGTGATAATGATATTTTCAAAATGGTCCAATTGGACTTCTGAAGATTCTGGCTGTGCCCCAAGTTTGTTGATAATGTTAATAAATATGTTTTTATTTAAATATCCTGATGAACCTTGTTATCTGAGGCCGATGTATGCTGGTCAGGTAAGTTTTTAAATTTATTTTAAATAATCAACCATTTAAATTTTCAGTTATGTAGAATTTTGTACATTATAAATACTCATTAATTAAATAAGGAAATTCATAATAAAAAGTACTTTTTCATGAATTATAATGCTTGACAATATAAAATTGTTTCATAAATTCTAAAAAGTAACTATTTTTTAAGTTTTTCCTCGTAAATCATTTTTGTAAGCATGGTAAAACATCAACATTTATTTTGTTAAGCATATTTTTAAAGTGACTCTTTCCATAATTACGGATTGCCTTTACAGGTTTTATATTCTTACTGAATTTCAATTTTTTTTCTTTTATTTGATTTTTAAACTAAAAGTCACAATTACAAATATTTCTTTATATTATTGTTATTTTTTAAAAGAAATTTTTTTTATTTTATTTATAATTATATATTACTTAACTGAATGCTTAATATTGAAATTTCATTTTAAACAGTTTATAAGGAGTTTTATTTATGAATTTAATGAATATTTTTCATCTTTAATTTTATTCTTATATTTCTAATAGGGTCCATTAACCCTTAGTATTATTACTGTATATGTTATTATTTGTTATTTGTTAAAGAAAACAAATGAAGTAAAATGGTTAAAAAAAAACAAGTTTTATTTGGTATTCATTTACATTTTTGACAGTATGCTGTTTAGGTAGTTCTGCTTCACTTACTTTATGATTAACAGCTCATTGTTCATGTAATCTAAATAAAATGAAAGTACAGAAAAATAAAATGTCTGAGATGATCCTTTCTAAACTGCACACCAGTTAATGCCATGTTTTTAATAGCCATTTTAGAAATGCAGCATATATAATGGTGCAGCTTATGTGAAGATTTTTATTTTATTCTAGTAATTTATTGCAGGGTTTACACAATAGTATACAACTTACTGTTGTGGATTATATGCAGGAAATTTTAGTATATTCACTTCTATTCAGTTTACATTCTTTTTCTTTTTAATATAATAATTCTCAACATAAATGTATTACAAACTGCTACTGTAGACTATATTTATAAAATTATAGACTTAACAGATATTAATATTAATTTGCAATAAATTTAAGACTGACAAAATGTAAGATGATAATTTTGAACTTTCTTAAGCAGATTATAATATTTTATCATATAAAATATTATTGCTTTAGTAGTGTTTATTATGATTAATTTAATGATTTAATAATAAAAGTTAGATTTATAAATATTGATATTTTTATAATTTTAAATTTATAGTTTATATTTGTAAAAGTATTGATATATTTTATTTTGTAGCCATTTATTCAAGGAATTCTTGTTGTGCTTGCTCTTCTTTGTGTGCCTTGGATGCTGTTTGCAAAACCGTATTTGTTGCATCGTCAGTGGCTTAATAGACCTAGTTTGGTGAGCAGAATATTTTATATTTTATCATATTTAACACAATAAAATATTTTTTCTATATTTATTATTGAATTTTTCTTATCTTATATGGTGAATTTTATCTTTATATACTGTAGTACATTATTTTGAATTTAAGCTGCATTCCCACATTACAGAGAGATTTCCAGGAAAAAATTCAATAATTAGAAATATAGTTTAAATTTATTAGAGTATAAAGAGTACTGCTTTTGTACTGCTATTAAAAAAATAAGCAACAAACATATTATCGTGAATGAAACAAACCTATATTATTGGTTTGAATGAAAGTTACAGAATAATTTTATATGGATAAAGTATACCACATATGAAAGAATAAATTGATTACAAGGAAAAGTATGAGTTATGACTTTTACTGTTTGATAACCAAATATATCATTGAAATGTGACTTTTGTCTAACTTAGTAGCATGTATGATGAATTCAATCTGCAGTACAAGCTTGATAACAGTAATTCATGTTATTAATGACATTGTTGATCAAGTTTTGTGATAGTAATCTCTATCCTTAGAGAAGATCCTGGTTGGAACTTCAAAAGAATACAGGGGATAATATGACTTGCAATCTATCATCCCTAACATGTCCCCTATATGCTGTATTAAATTCAGGTCTAGTGATCTTGGAGGCCATTGCATATGAAAAATTGTTTCACTCTACAAGTATCTTTCAACAGATTGCACTCTGTGAGATTAAGCATTATCATTAATATTGCATCTGGATTCATTGCAGTGGTGTATGGATAAACGCATGGGTGTAAAATTTTGTGTTGATACTTGTCAATGAACCACCTGGAAAAATGTGAAGCTCAGTGCAGCTGTTTATTGCTGTTCCTGCCCATGCCATGAATCCACTACCTCTGTAATGGTATTTTTCAAGGGTATTTGCCAATGATACCACATCCCTAGTCTCAGGTTCCCTTCTTATTATTAATAAAGTTTGGCAAGAATCACTGGAGATTGAATCATAACTTATCATGGTGAAGAATACTTGATTCTACTACTGTAGGCTCTACTTTTGATGTTTCTGGACTCAATCAAGGGGAGATACATGAGACCTCAAGAGAGGACTGAACAATTGCTCTCCTTACACATGGTCCACCCTTCTGCAGTCTGTAGAGACAGTTATCTGCCTATGATATCATAGAAGAGTGCTCCAAAGCTAGCTGTTCTGCTGTAAATAACCTATGACATCTTGCCAATGAAACAGAAATTGATCATCTACCACTAATTTATTCCATGGCATTTGTTAACATGATTATGAAAAAATTCATATTTGGAAATTTGATTAATAAAAGTCATGAAAGATTCATTTTATTATTATTAATACAGAAAATTTTTAATAAATATTCATATATCATAAAGGCTTTCATATCATTTTGAAACAGGCTTCATAAGCTGCCTGTTTCAATTCTTATGCTGAGTAAGAATACTCTGCATCAAGAGTTTCCTTACAAGTATACTGGAGACTGGGTTTGGTGTTCATAACAAATACAATAAGATTAATGAATTTTGAGTTCATTATTTTTATTATATTTTGTTGTTTTGAATTTAATTAATTAAATGAACTTTATAATGCTTTAGCAGTATTAGAGCCTGATGATGGTTACTAAAGTAGCTAAAAATGTTTGTTTATTAAAAATTTGTTTATTTAATAAGTTAAGGAGTTAAATTTTAAATTTATCTGTAAGTTTAAATTAAATAAGAAATATTTATTAATTTAATAGTAAATATTACATTATTATATTATACAATAGTAAGTTTAATATTATCTCTATTGTTATCTGATATTATAAAGTAATAATTTTTGTTATTTAGATGAATGTTAACAAGAATCAATTGGAAGGAAATGCGGAGGATGATGGTGAAGTTGTTTATCATGATGCAGGACCTAAATCACCACCTAGTAGTCAAAGTCATGAACAAGATAAATCTGATCATTTTGATTTTGGTGATGTATTTATTCATCAAGCAATTCATACTATTGAATATTGTCTTGGGTCTATTTCTCATACAGCATCATATTTGAGATTATGGGCCCTTAGTCTTGCACATGCTCGTAAGTGACACTTATAAAATAGTAATTAATTTAATAAATCTTCAATAAAATGTTTTATTAACAAAATATTTTAGAACTTTCTGAAGTTTTATGGACAATGGTAATGCGCATTGGACTTAGAGTTGGTGGATGGGGAGGAGGTATTGTGTTATATTTTATTTTTGCTGGATGGGCAGTCCTTACAATTGGTGTTCTCCTGATAATGGAAGGATTGTCTGCATTTTTACATGCACTTCGTTTACATTGGTACGTTATTTTTTCATATATTATGATTTGTAAAAAATTCTGTATGGTAGTCTAATGATAAGCTAGAACTGAAATGTTGATATATGTTTTTGCCATAACCTATGTATAAGGCCACACCATGCTTATTCAGATACTAACAATAATACTTTTCAATATATGATACAGTATATATATGTAATTATTAATACAGTCGCCCCCTATAACACTGTTGATTATTCCGTTTTATATGAATTCCATGTTGTACAAGTCATGTAGATTTTACAAATATGTGAGCCATTCACAGCCCAGCCCAAGGCAAGTTCCAATGCGGCCCAATAAACGTGTAAACAAAACCGATAATTTTATTTTATTTATTTATTTCAACTGCATAAATTCAAAAAAATAAGTTTCACAAATATGTATAAAGGGTTACACCTTTATACATATTTTATTTTTGAGTGGAAAGGAAATATTTTCAAATACTTGGAAATGTGTGAATGAGGAAAGAATACTAAATAAAGCTAAAGTTGAGACTCAAAGAATTATAGACCCAAATTCGGGGAAGGAGAGTAAGGCCAAAAGATAAAAAGTAGTGAGAAAGGTTAAATAGACCTTCTGTTATGCAAATATGGACCCTTAATTTTGAAACCTTCCTCACTTCTTTATCTTTTGTCCTTTCTCTCCTTTCTCCGCATTTGGGTCTATAATCCTTTGAGTCCAACTCCGGCTTTATTTAGTATTCCTTCCAACGTTGCATGATTTGGCTACTTTGCACCAAAGTTGGCTACCCTTTTTTTAGTTTGGTGTAAAAAATATAATTTGACGCATTGGCTACTTTTTGGACTACATCTTACTTATAAATATATTAGTCCAATAAAAATGCACTTTAAAATGGTGTTTTGTCATTTTTTATTAATTAGAGACTCAAATAAAACAAATATTTGTGTTTTTCAAATAAATTTTTGTCTCTTTTATAATAAATGAATTTATCTATTTCTAAGTAAAAATTAGAACTGTCTATAGAAGTAATTTTTTAAAATATCCTTTTTAGTGATAAAGATTTAATACTTATTACTATAATCTAGACATGTTAATCCTCAAATATACATTTAAGGATTGGGCCACAAGTATACATAATATACTTGTGGCCCAAAACTTCATGACATCTTCCAATGTGGCCCAGAGAAACAAAAAGGCTGGACACCCCTGTTGTAGAACATTAGAGGGTAGGATGGTAATTGAAAATTACAAAAGTTGCGTTGTGTAATTCATAGATTCATGAATGTTTCGTTCCTGAAATATCAGGCCCCATTTCTCATCTGGCTACCCCTGCCTAACCGAATCCACAATGGGTACGGAAAAAAGGCCGAAAAGAGTCAAAAGTTAAAAAAATACCATCGTGATCAACGTAATATACAAAACACTTCGCTACATTGCTTCGAAGTTACACATTCTAGAGAAGTATTCTTACTTAAATTTATTGAGATACAACTAGCAACAGAAACATATAGAAATGAAAACATCCAGTAGGTTAAAACTGCACTGCAGTCGTTAGATAGTAGCACTTAACTGTGCAATTACAAAATTTTCACACTACTAAAGCTTTTCCTGATCCAACAAAAATTGGCTCGCTACCCTGTTTGGAAAACGCTATCTTACTCAGTTATTAATTGATATTTTCGTTGATTTTTGTTACAGTTAAAAAAAATCGGTCACAAACTTTTTCGATATTGATCGCGAATTAATATGCTGTATACTCTATGTTAACTTGTTAAATTTATTTATTTTAGGGTGGAATTCCAAAGTAAATTCTACGGAGGTACCGGTTATATCTTCGTTCCGTTTTCGTTCGACACCATTTTGGAACAGGCCAGTATGGAAGATTGAGGATTCGGACAGACGCCAAGGACGTGCCATATTTAAAAATGGTTTCAGTAACTCCGCTTTCGTAGTGTCGTTGTCCGACATAACGTGATTTACGTAGTTCGTTCGGCGAAGTCGTAACTTAATTTATTGTAAAAGTCGTTGTGTATATAAAAATAAATTATTTATGTCCTCATCGAATCTGACTTTTTTCTGATCAACGTTTTTCCGGATACCGAAATTTCGAAGCAAGGAATTTCGTAAGTAAATGGAAATCTTCGTTCCAATTTTTTCGTCTAGATAATTGTCTAATTTTCGTACTGTCATTTATGCTTTTGATTTTTTTGGCAAAAAGTTCTTTCTCCTTTTTTTTCGAAATTCTGAACAAAAGATTATTTAACCTCGAGATATTCCAGCTTTCGTTCAAAAACGAGATTCCTTCGAGATATTGCTTTTGCTTTTCTAGATGTTAGACGAATATACTGTAGTTGTTGGCAGAAAACAAAAACCGGATCGATCCTCCGCTTCCAGTTGGAACGAAATGGAGACAATCGTCTTATACTGTTACAAAATAAGGCGCCAAGTGATGAGAATATTATGAAACAGTTCCTGGAAAAGTTGTGAACTTTTATGAAATTGGAATTTTAGGCAGTTGAAACTTCAATTTTTAAATCATCGGAATAAAATCCATTTGTTTACTTCATTACTTGTATAAGAATAGATAGCATCGATGGCGATTGGTTAACACGCTAGTGCTTTTCATTGCCAATACATCAACGCTTCAATCGCGATATTCGAATTCGAGCGATGAAATATCGTCCAATGCATAATTATTCCTAAAGGCGTTTTTACTGTATTTTATTAACGCCCGCTATCCTTTTTACGTTCGTCGAAGTTTGAAGCACTCGAGAATAAGTATACAAATAATGATTTTACTTATAGGAAACTAGCTATATCACTTACGGAAAGAGTATAGAGAAACGTTGCCAAAATTGGGTTAGCGTGAAAGTAGAAGCATTTCCATCTGGTAGGTGGATCTTAACTATTTTACACAGATACACGATGATTCCATGAATAGAAACCCGGTCGTGTGGTTTCCGAAGGACGAGACAAAAATGACGATCAAAATGAGAAGTTCAGACGGGATCTCTGTTCTCTATTTAATATTTCTTTACTTGGCTACCAACGGGCTTAAAACATTTACACGGGATAGTTTCTAGTAACTTCAAAATCCATATAAATATGCAATATAATATTTAAAATGTAATTTATTTATATTATACAAAAATTGAATTTTAACCTGTAAACAAGTTTAATTTATCAAAACATGAATACCTTTTTAGTGTTTAATTTATTGCAAACTGTTAACAGACTACAACAAAGTTGTTAAAATACATAAATTTAAGTGTACAAATTTAAAAGCGTTTATATGTATAATTAAATTTTTAAATTTACATTCCTAGGAGTTAGAAATATCTCAAATTCTGACATGCTTTGTGTGTATATTTCTATTCGGTGTGGGATGATTAAAAAGAAATTTGCAAGTAAGTAAAAAATTTAAAATATTGAAATCTAATTAAACATATAAATTCAAACATAAAAGTTAATGAGATAAGTAAAACTGTTATATATTTGGTCATTTGTTTAAGTTTAAAGATATATTTTTCAGTTTATGCATTTGTCAATTCCAGCATTATTAAATTACTCTTTTGTATATAACCTAAAAAGATATTGAAGAGATAAAGTTTCAGATAAATTTTATTGAATTGAATTACAATAATAACTACTACTATTATTTTTACCTTTCCGGTTGTTATATATAACAGGGAAAGTAAAGCGATCGTTAAAAATGACTCCCAAGATTTTTACATATTTGGACTGGGGAACTTGAAACGTCAAGAAATGAAAAAAGGGGGGGAGTTTTTTCCTGTATGTATGGATGTTAGTGTGTGGGGGAGGCATGATTTTGTTCACTCACTTTGAAATTTGATAACTCTTACCTTTTATCGAAAATTTCTGAAATTTTGTAGGGAGTTTTGTGTATTAGAGTACTGATGCTAATAAATTTTGGTTGTTAAAAGTCGAGGGAGTGGGGACGGACTTAATGACGATTTCTATTATTAGCATTGACAATTTTTTATGAAACTCATCGCTACGCTCAAAAGTAAGTTTTTTTTTTCTTTTTTTTTGCCATTTTATAATCATAACATGAGATTTCATCAAATAAAAGTTTTTATAACAGATGGGCCGCGCACAATTTTTAACTTTTGCTGGGAAAATTATGAAACAGTCGTAACTAGAATTTGTTTTTTTCTTTTATAAAAGTGGTTTTATATGTATGTAACATAATTTCTTATACAATGGAAATGGTGTACTTTTATACTAATGGATTTCGCGTAATGATAAGAAATGATTTACGTATTCTGAATTATGAACAAATTGAATTTTCTCTAAAATTATAGCAGCTTTCTTTCAGTTGCTTCCTTGTTTCCCTATTGGTCTCTCACCTGTCTCTAGATGTAAATGGAGATCTGTTTAGGTTGCGCGAAAGGTTTTCCCACGCCTCTCTTAGACTCTGATCGCGTTTAATCGATGACTATGACACCTACGTCCATTCTATATTTTTGTTTCGTTTTACTAAATTGCTTCTTACCCTTTTAAATTTTCTTTATCTAAAATTTTGTTTTTCCCGCTATTCTTTATGAGCGACGATGTCAAAGTCTGGTGTCGCCGACTCGACACTTATATAACTTAACAAATTTTATATTTTTCTTTTTTTAATGTTTGAACTATTTTCCGGTGCCTCACAATAAATTCTAAGGCAATTGATTTAATTATTACAAAATTATCTAACTTGAATTCTTTTTGAAATTATAAAAATAATTAAAAGTTTGATCACTTTATAATTTTAAACTTAAATGAAATATTTTATACATTTTAAACAGGCTATAATTTTAATGAATATCCATTTTGAATTTTATTGATGTTTCTATAAGTTTTACAAAGTATTTGTTCATATTTTTATTTAGTATATCTTATACGTTCTGAACCTAAATCCCATAGATCGTGTGGGATACTCTACGGCAGGGGTCACCAAAATTTTTTCACAGCGGGCCGCATAACTAAGAGAATGACGAGCGCAAGCCGTGTAAGCATTTTGTTCAATACAGTCCACTGAATACACAAAAAAACCAACATAAAGTATTTATTTATCAATTCACAAACACGATTGCTGCAGCAAGCTCGTAATCGCTTTTGTTAGAAACTTCATTGTAAGTACAGTAGACCCCCCTATGAAACGGGTTCATATAATATATATAACGGCGAAAAAACTTAAAATACATAATGATTTCTTTCTAATTAAATTACTTTTTTTAATTTAATTAGAAATTTAATTTAATTAAATTAATTTACTTTTACTTCTAATTAATTTCTTTTCCATTAAAAGCATATTAAAAGTTAATATGCTTTTAATGGAAAAGAAATCTGTATGTATATTTATTTATTTTTCAAAAATGGTTATTGTAAAATATTACTAAAATGTTATAATTTTATAATTAATAGTGTAACAAGCAGTACATTTTTATGATGTAACAAGATACAAGTTCTTAAAGTAATTTAATTAGAAAGAAATCATTATGTATTTTAATTTGTTTAGTTTTTTATTAAAAAAAAATTGTTTAAACATTTGTAAAAAGTCACTATACGTTATAATTTGTATGTTATAAGGTAGCAAACAGACCTTTTTAGAATACAAGATACAAATCCTTTGAATAATTGTATAAGCTGGTAAAAATATTGTAAACGGGAATAAAAGTACCGTATAAGTGTGAAAAAAAATTAGAAACTCATGGAAACTCTTAAAGGGTATTATAAAATGTGGTTTTATTTTTGTTGTAACATCATCTACCCGAATTGTTTTTTATCAATTTTTATAATTTAATTTATTTTGTAGCACTGAGGAGGAGCTAGTAAATTAACCTAGCTCGAAATGCATCTGTAAAAAGCAATAAAAGGAGTTTATAACCTGAATTGGCTGAGGTAGTCTACCGAAAAGATTTTTTCGGATTGAAGAGACATTCACTAAATCAACATTAAAAACAGCTAAACCATCAGAAAATTCAGAATAAATACATTTAAATTGCATTTTTTAAAGTTATTTTTTCTTATTATCAATGGTACTGTACATACTGTACATTCCAGTATGCATCAATCTCAGCTATGACCGATGCATCGGTAAACGGTTTAATCATGGGTTTAACAAGCTTTTACTGGAACGTATGGCAACCTAATAAGATTGCGGAAGCAAACAGCACTATATTGGCACTCAGTGCCGGCCCGAGGCAAGTTTTAGGATGGAGCGCGATCCCATTATGGCGCCCCCTTGGTTGCCCTTAATTTATACCCTTTTATTTTCTCTACCACTGAGGCGCACCCTAGGACTTAGCGCCTGGAGCGGCTGCTCCGTTCGCCCTATGGTAGGGCCGGCTCTGTTGGCACTTGCAGACTTCTTTTGTCAAAATAACTTTGGATTAATACAGATGAATAGTACAAATGATGATGATGATGAAATATTTTCATTCGCTGCTACTGTTGCGATGATAAAGCCTAAAAAAACTTCTCTCTATACAAAAACGATAACGTTTCGTACTTTATTTTCAAGCGGCCTTACTACTACTTACTACTAGCGACACAACCTGTACTGTATGTTTTGACGGCCAGATGTCCGAGCGGTCAAGGTGCAGCTTACCGCTCTAGGGGACCCGGGATCGAGAAATCCCGAGGAATTTTTCGGGTGTGGACCGTCCGGATATGTTGGGCCCGTCCCTCATCACCCGGCCGCCCCATTGTGGGCCTGACCGAACCCATAATGGGCTTGATAAAAGAGGCCCACTGGTCGGAGAGTTAAAAAAAGCGTATATGTTTCAATTAGATATATTTATTTGACGATAATTTAAAGAATTTTTTAATTTTTTACTTAATTAAAACGTATGGGATTACATGCTAACCGCCCCTTACCACCCGGTCGGCCCATTGTCGGCTTGGCCGAACCCATACTGGGCCTTCTATAAGAGGCCCTCTTAGTGCCCGTAGGGCGGAAAGAGTAAAAAAAAAACATGCTAACCGCCTTATTCAATCATTATGATTATTTTATAATGTCACTAAGTATAACCATGGGAGCGGTCATATTGA